AGTGGTTTTTGAATCACAAATATCTCTGACCATTATTCGAGAAGTGTGTGGGGGTGGGGGTCCAGGAGTACAGTTGATGGCTTTGTCTCCCATGGAAACATTGCTTCCGGGAATCAAAATACAATTCTTTACTCGTATTCGGTTATGGGCTTGCCACCATTACTGGAGATTAGAGCTCATTCAACACAGAGAATAGCAACACCTTGGGCCTCGCATGCTAAGGTGTCATGGATGTTATAGTGGAAGGCAGCCAGCTGCAGTTCACAGATCACTTTTATTAAGCATTATAACCTTGATGTGTTGTCTGCCTCCCACTGTCATTTTGGGAGAACAGTCGTCGCCTCTGCCTGTTCCCAAAAGCAAATTATTAATTTAGCAGACTAGTCTACATTGTGCTCATATTTTCCCTCCCTTGTTGAAATTGTCATCTCTTTCTAGTTATGTCCTGGAGGTATGCCATCACAAGGAAACTCAAGAATACAGGAAAAAACTTATCAGATACTTACCGTAACTTTCCATTCCAGGCGTTTCCTCCTGACAGCATATTTCCCAACTGGTGTACCCAGAACACTGGGTAAGTGACCTTTACTCTTTTACAAATTTGGTTAGGTGGTCAAGGGGGTAGAGCTGACATACATACTGTCATGAGGAGATGCCAAGAAAGGAAAAGTACAGTAAGTATCCGATAACTATTTTTCATATTACTGTGACCTAGTAATTATCAGTACTCCTTTGTATGGCTACAGGGATATTATGACACTAACATAACTTCCAATCGTTAGCCTGACAAAACAGAAGTGTTAATCATCTATGTGTGGACATCTTCCATCTTTGCAAAGACAGCTTTTCCCAGTCTTCTGTATGTTGCCAAGCACATCCTGCTCGTTTGCCAACCAGGCCACCATATTTAATAATGCACCTATTGAAATCTTACAGGAATACAGCAAACCTGCACATGCACAAATCAATATATTACATGAAAGAACATGATTGCTGTAGACCGGGGTCGGCAACCCGTAAATCGCTGTCTACCAAGGGCAGGTGACAGGTAGACTGAACAGATACCTGCGCTACTAACTCCGACCTTTTAGGTGCCGTTGCCTCTCTCCCCTTCCCCTAGCTGCTTCTGTTGATGGGCAGCTGTCATCCTCCATGCACAGCAGAAGGCAGCACCGCTCAAGCCGGAGGGCGGGAGGAGCTGGCCAAACAAACTTTTCATATTAACAAGCTGGTAATTGGTTACTAGGATAAGCCTAGCAACCAATTACCAGCTTGTTAATATGAAAAGTTCTGTCCTGAACTGTGCTGTCTTCCACTCGCTGCTGTGCATTCAGGATGACAACAGCAGTGGGAGGCTGGGGGGGGAGAGGAAACTAATTTGGGGGGAGATGTGCAGAGGCTACTATGGGCAGGGCCACCCCCATAACATTGTCCTCTACAGCATACAGCTGCTGCAGGAAGAAAATCCAGGGGATTGGTTCTAGTAAACGCCTCCCCTGCTGCCCCTCCTATTTTCTGCTGCCTGGCCCCTCCCCCCAAGTACTCCCTTTCAACAGGGCTCCTAAAAAAAAATTTTGTGAAAAACCCAGCTGAATCCTCCACTAGACAGTTTGCACCGCAGGCAATGAAATGGACATCTGAAGGACACAAAACTATAAAGAGAAACCCGAGAGGGTTGGGAGTGGATTTGTACAGGAACAAGGCTACAGGTAAGTAGAAAGGGCTTTTAGATAGGACCATTTTTTTTCACCCCTCAATATAGTAAATTAGTGGGAACAGGAGAAACATTTGGCACACTAAAGGAAAAAAAAAACCAGATGTATAATGTGATGGCTAGTATATTACCACACAAGTAAAGTCTTTAAAGTTAAAAGCTTGCATGCTCGGACTACATGCCACACCTACTGCTCCTGTACCTGGAACCGACATCACTTCTGCCTGTGTTGTAGATCCACACTGACCAGGAAGTACTGGGAACCCCCAGCACAGCCAAGGACAGTGCATTGGAGACATGCCTGCAGCAGGACCAGCCAAAGAGTTGCACAGCGGTTGACACCAGTTTGACAAGCACTCATTTGACTACTCCTATTGTGAGTTGCCAATTTTGTGGAAATAAATTGCTCATATTGCTGCACTTAGATGGCACTGCTTCTCTCTTTTGTATTAGTGGGAACACAATGGTTTAATCTCAGAGTGAGGTTTTGAAAGGTGGAGTATGGTATTGCCTAAACTACATTAGGCATGTCAGTAAGGTCTGATCTTGCAGCCTGTAGACTTATTTGAAAGCAGAGCTCCACCCAAAAGGGGAAGTTCCACTTTAAAGGACTGGTCCCCCACTCCCCATTAAGGATTGGTACCTTTGGGGAGCAAGTACCCAAAATTGACAGGTACCCACTCCCACTGCGATCGCCTAGGCAAATCGGAAGCGAAAGTTGTCGCCCTCCCTCTCCGTAGTCTTCTGGGACACGTGACAGGTCCCAGAAGACTATGGGACCATTCAAAAAGCATAGTGCAACTCGCACATGTGCTGTGAAGCCAAAAGCTGTCACAAGCGGGTGCCCACACTGCAAGATGCCAGTCTGGAACACAGGGCAGCCATGAAACTGGCTGTGGGGGGTGAGGTGGGTTGTCATCACAGGATCGAGGGACAAGTGTCCATTTTTTGCAGCGTTTTTGTAGCTGCTGACTATTTTTTTTCTATTTTTTACTGGAATTCCTCCTTAAAGTCAATTACCCGTTTGAAGCAACGACCAGAAAACAGCATTGGCACCTGCACTTTTTATCAAGTTATTTCACAGAGCTGTCCCGTTACGTCCTCTTCTGGAGGCCTTCGTCAGTGCTGCAAGCTATCCTCCTCTGCTCCAAGTGTCCTCTTAGCAAGCAAGCTGCTCAGAGGGCATTCGTGCTGGGACATTCCAGAGCCAAGGTATGAGCATCCATAGAAAAAAAAAAAAAACACAGACTATGACTTAACCAAGCACCTCACTCCCTCACAGGATTTGACTAACAGCAGCAGAAGCCAATGGCTCTCTGCTCTCACTACTGTGATTGCAGGAAGAGGAACAGCGCTGGTTAAATTGAGAACTGCATGCAGAAATATATTATTGTAAAGAAAAACCTTTTGCCTTTAGAAACACTTTAAAAAAGGCATCCCAAAATTTTGTAAGAGGGAACAAGTTTCCCAAACTGATTTAAAAAAAAAAAAAAAAACCCCACACACACAAATCAGGAAACCTTCATTGCACAGGTTTTCAAACCCAGTTAATGTACCACCCCTTATGAATCTCTGGTACACCAGATCCCAAAAACAAAAAAAAGTACATACATTTCTGAAAAGCCCCATATTTTGTTGCAGGAGAAAACTTGTAAATGGTACATATTGAAGTCCAGTCAGCCATCAAAACTATTCTGGGATAAACTAGAGCGATACCAAAATCAGGATAGGTCATTAAAATTTTTTTTTTTAATTTTAAAAATCTGACGAAATGGGCTCTGAGTCCTAGAGTACTTTGCCAAGAACAAGCAAATATTGCAGAATCCAGATATGAAAAGCTAACTTACCCTAAAAACTAGAAAGAACCAACTTTTTTGGTTTTATCAAACATTGACCAAGGGGGATAATTATGCAGCCAACAGATTAGCTTCTTTTGCCAGAATAAACCAAATACATTTCATGCCTTTAGGTGTCAAGGATACCATGTTACTTAATAGCAAAACCCACCAATAAAAGCCCCCTTCCCCCCATTACCACATTCACCTTGACTATTATGCCACTTGTTAACATGCGCTACATAAAGCCCATTCATTCTGAATGAGCATAAACCTACCCCATTAAAGCCGTATTAAATCCAAAACAAAAAAATGCAGCTCTTTTCTAGATGTCACGGCTGCATTGATTCTTTTTTTTGTCCCCCATGTTCTCACCAGGTGATCTGGCCAGTAACACACCTCTTGTATTAAGAGTGCATCCGCTCAGGATGAATGAGCACAGGTGGCAGTGCAGACAGCAGCACTGTCACCCTGGGCTGGGAGGGTTGTGTTGAATGTACTAGCAGATTTTACAAACACTAACTGAAGCCAAACTCCAGTCAATTTATAATCAGTTACAGCAAACAGCTTTTTTCCTTTTGGGATGTTTCACATCAATCAATAAAAAAAGTGGATTACTGTAAAACACCCCTGCCAGTATTAAATGGTTTGTCCTATAACTATAAAACCGATACATCTGGAAGAGAGCTTGTTCTTTTGGTAAAAAACAAACAAAAAAAAAAAACCCAGAAACTTTTACCACATTCACCATGCTCCGGGGAAATGGATGCAACTGCACTTGCAAAGTGCACAGTCTATTTGCCTTTATTAAATCAACCCCAAACTCTTTACTTGAAAGAGAAACATATTAATTAACTTATTGCTGAAAATGTAAAATATTTGTGCACACTGACAGAAAAGAATGAGTAAAAGTTCAGTAACCTGACATGTAAAATTGTGTCATCTTTACAAAAATTTTAAAAGGAATCCAGGAAAATATACATGAACTACATACGGTGTTGCTAAATTGCTTTTAGGTACTGAAGAGAAATGGATTACCAGTGAACTTGACACCCAAGAAATGGTATGGACAACAGGATGAAACTAAACCTTAATCATTGCAAGAATTCTTTTTTTTTTGTGGAACTTTTACTAAAAAAGGCTGCAACGAAATACAGTTCCAAATAATAACATAACAGTGCTGGAAATTATTCACAAAACCGTTTCACAAATGCAAGTTTCTTAGTGACAAAGGATGAGCAGAGAAGAAATTCTTTAGAGCTTGTCTGTAGACATGAGTGAGTACAATATTTAACATTTTACTCTAAGGACATTTAGTTAGGCCCTGAATGATATTATAAAATAACCAATAAAACGGTGAAGGAAAGAAATACACCAATTTCTTACATGTTATGAAATGCACTACTAAATTACATCTACAAAAGGAGGCCAATGTACATGGCACCTCTCCACTAAAAGTGACGGGGGTATGAGGCCATAGTAGGCTGTTGCACTGGCCCACCACGAAGTGCCTGGCCTACTGCCTGACCCACCAAATGAGAGAGTGCAGGCCCACTTTGAATGAGTGTGTCTAAAGCCTTTTGCACACTAGGGTTGTCAACATTTATACCAGACGTTGTTCCTGGTCTTTGACCTGGAACACTGCCAGGTCCCTGGACACGATTTGGAAGTTGTCCATACAGATTCTGCATTTGAGGAGATGGGCCAGGTCGAGGTGCTGCATTTCTAACTGGTGCTCCTGCACCCATGGTATTAGAAAGCTGACTTGCTGTTGGCTGAGATCTTTGTGGGGGTGGACCAAGAATTCCTGCATCCATTGACACTGCTGACCTTTGCTGAGTGTTGGACATATTGCCATAGCTCTGGCCTGATGCAGCTGACCCCATAGAGCTCATTTGGTTAGAAGTAGTAGAAACTCCACTGTTGAACAGACTGAGAATTTTTGCTTGCAGCTCTTGCTGAGAGCTGCTCATGGTTTGAGGTGCTGAAGTAGCAGAGCTCAATTTTTTGGAGGCAACTGGAGTGTCTGACTGCCCGCAAGAGTAGATTGGGCATCAAGAGAAGTTGTTGGTGCTGCTGCCGATTGTCTTGAAAGTTGTGCTGCAAACCAAGAACATTATGTGAATCAATTTGTTGAATTAAAATCAGAACAAAAAAACAAAAAAACACGACAGCACAAATTAAACAATGCAATAAAAAAACCTACATGTTAAGGAGTCACCAGCCATGGCCAATAATCTCTCTTTTCGCTGCTGTAAATAATGGACGACTTTGTCTATTTCTTCAGTTGTCACATATCTATTGTCTGCCAACAAACTTAGGAGAGTCAATATTCCAGGAGGGTGACCCCCTCTTACTCCCTCATCAAGAGGGCCACGCTCTCTTAATATAGCTTCTGCCGACAGCCTGGCAGCTTGCCGTGCAATATCTTCACGTTCCTTCTCTCGTGATTCAGTTTTGTACCGCTCATAGCTTCTTGCCACAAGAAGCATTGCATCAGAAAGTGGCATGTTCCGATGCTCTGTGGGGGGGAAAAAAAAAAAAAAAAAAAAAAAAAAAAACACATTCCAACTTAAAGACAAAATAACCACAAAATAATTCTCAGGTACAGAGCTGAAATATGCAATTAACATCTTATTTATCTTATTTATTGACATTAAACGAACTAAAAAAAAAAAAAAAAAAAAAAAAAGAAAAAAAATGTACACTCTAGAACCACCCACTACTGCTTTGATGCTTGGTTCCAGGTTTAGGAAGAATTTATAGTCATGTCAATTTTCTCACCCTCTTTTCTGAACCCCTGAAGAGTTTTTTTTAAATTCCAAACAACATTCTTTTCAGAATTCAGAAAATAGAAAAACGGACATGGCATACTTTTTGTCTCCTGGCTCATTCACACCAGCAGTCACGTTGTATAGCACATTATCGTAATGGACTCATACGGTTTACTTCATACAACTTTATTAAACTGTCAATGGCATGTCATCCATCTTTACTCACTGCAGCGGGCTGAGATGTGGTGTACTGAATCGCAACACGTTACACTGCAAAAAGGTACAGCGTGTTCTTTTTGCAGTGCACTAGTATCAACTGAATAGGACATAAGACCCAAGGATATGGTAACAGGTCTGCATTCAAGTTCTTGAAATGTTGTCTTCATATTTGAAGGCTGACATCACTTATGGTTGGTTGGACAACAATAAGCCCTGTTTTAATGTGTACACACCAATTGTTTATATTGTGAAAGTTCACAATTTTGTTCCCAAGGTAAATTTTTAGCAGTTCAAAAACATTCTTCAGCAATACAATCACATATTACATGTCTGTGCTTTCTGAGGATGTAAACACTCAAAAGCAAATCAGTGCAGAGTAGAGCTGCCTGGAGCTTTTGTTCCTGTCTTCCCTTTCTTGAAGGGGTGATTAGGCACGCCAACACTGCAATACATGGTGACAGGGTGACCTTTTAGCAAGCCTTGGTATCCTCATGTGGCAAGCAAAGTGGTGCATCTATCCTTATTTGAAAAGCTATTGAAGGACTGCACCACATTGATGCAAGAGTTCTGTGTTCTACTGGTGCTGGGTAAGCTAAAAGTAACAAAGTGATGTAATTGAAAAAGGTTAAGCCATTTAACAGTGACAAGAAAACCACCAAAAAAACAAAAGCCTAGCTAGGCAGCTAGAATCTTGTAATTTGCTTTTTCTTGCCATTAGCATTCCTGTTTATTCCCAACACTGTTCCACTGACAGAATCTAACCCTCACCTACTCTTGATAAAGATGAAAACAATTTTGGCTAAAGATCTCATATATATACACACATACATATATATATATATATATATAAACACATACATACATCATACATACACATTATATATATATATATATATATATACATATACACACACACACACACACATAACATACACACATACACACACTAAAAATAAACCACAAACTAGCAGCACTCATTGCAAAACATCTGTGGACATGGATGCTATACAGCCATATGAATACACAGTAACTAATGTATGCATCGTACAGCAATCTAAGGGCCAATTCACACCAGTGCATTTTAGCGCAGCTGTAAAATGCAGATCAACGGAAGGACATCTGAAAAACAATTTCCAATGTGTCCTATTCACACAATAACGTTGCATTGCATTGTGCTGAAATGCAAAAATGTAGGTCAATGGACATAAGCATGTGTTTAAAATGCGACTAAAATAGATGGAGAAGTACAAGCATTTTAGCGCAGTCAGTGTGAACTGGCTGTTAAAAGTGATGAAACATTGGTAGCAAAGCTAAGCAGAGCTCTCTGGAATATACGGTTGATATATATGCCAAAAGAACAAATGCACCGCTCCAAGCTCCTGACACAGCCTCTCAGGAAGCCCACTGCTCCACATGCAGGTCTCGGGAGCTTGTCTAGCTTGGTTTGTATAGCAAAGTCAAAAAACAAGGCACCAGTTCACAAATGTCCCACTGGTGATCAGAGAGGTGATTACTGATTAAGATCTAGTAGTGGTGAAACATGTCAGAGGGGTGTGGCCTAAGGGCAGGGATTGTGTTAACAGCCAGTGACACAAACTCACTAGTGGGATTTTTGGTCTCCCAACTATGCACTGTCACCCTGGCTTTCAATAAAGACTACAAGTGGCCGTTTTAACACGCAATGTACAGATGTGGTCCACTGTTGTCACCATCATAAAAACACACCTTGAGAAAAGGCATGCAGCCATGTATGTAGGCCAGAACTAGATGCAAAGAGTCTAGAGGAGATCAATAGCACAGATGCAAATGATGGAAAAAAAGTATTTTATTGAAAAAGGCAGGTGTTTTTGATACAAAGTTTCAAAATGTTATTTTGTACAAACCAATTTTCCCTTGCTCTCCCTCATGTGTTGCTACCAGACAGACACACACATTAATGAAATTCCAAGCAATTTGTAGCTCAGACACTAAAGGTGGGTACACACTGGCTAAAAATTGTTCGAGAACAGTTGGTTTGGCAAGAACCGGCAGACTTTTGGCCCGTGTGTGCAGCGGTCTGTTCGACAGAGGCCAGATCTACGACAGGCTTCTGTCGAACACGTATGCTGCAAAACCAACATCCAGTCAGCGCTAGCAGCCAATGGCTGGGAGGGACGAGTCCCCCTGTCATAACATAAGGGCACAGCGGGGAAGACTAAGTAGCTACTCGGGTTATCAAATGCAGCTACTAGCTGACCCAAGCATACCTGCAATTTGAAGCTGCATACAACAGTATGAGAAAAACAGAAAGATCTGTAGCTGCTACTCAAAAATTGGCCATGTGATAGTAGCCTTGAGGGTACATCCAGTTTAACTCACTCACAGAGGCGATTAGGCTGCTGCTTTTAAAAACAGGTAATCACCGCATCAGAGTGCAGCAGCACTGCCATGACCACACACACTAGTATGCAAGTGTGTCCAGTTTGCATGCAACCAGAGACCACTGGCCCAGGGCGCAAAGAGTCTGTACCCAGAACCTGTCAGAGGCCTCTAACTGCATGTAACTGAGCGATAACATCAAACAAGGTTCACTATGGTCACCGACTTGCACAGGATACAACTATGGCCATGCAGCAGCTTGCACACATGTGCATGTGGGCAAAATTCCTGACAGATTCTTACCATCAGAGAGGTTTGCTCATTTGAGTGTACCCCAAGCCTACATACAGCCCAATTAAAAAATAAGGACTGAGCTGTCCCTAGTAGTAACTCCACGAGTTCAATGCAATTTCTGGCAAACTAACTATTCAAATACTACAAATATAAATCCTTTATGCTCTTAACACGGCAAGTAAAAAAAAAAAAAAAAAAGAAAAAAAAAAAAGCCACCACACACATACACACACACACACAAACACACATACACAAACACAGGAATACCTTGCGGGGTTCCAAATAAGATGTTCACAGTGCATGAATGATGTGTCTGGTGCTGCTGGGTTACCACTATACCAAAAGGTGATCCTCCTCTAGAAACATCTTCCAAGGCTTGGGTCAGCGATACTTCTGTGTTTAAAAAGATCAGGTCCACCATCATACCAAGGTCACGGACCTTACGCCCCACAGATTCTGCATATTCCCTAGAAGAAGGGTTGGGAGGGGGGGATTAAATGACATTTATGTTAGTTACAGTATGCCACGGACCTCGCTAAAAAAGCAGGATGATAAACCATATCTGCCATCTTACTTTGACTGTTTGTTAACCACCACCACAGAGCAATCAACAGGGCGCTCAGCATCAACCTTTCTTTGAATTTCATCAAAATATTGCCTATACAGCTCTTCACGGCGCCGTTCTTCACGTTTGAGTCGATCTAAATATAAAGCACACAAATTTAAGCATTTCAAATTGAACAAACAATTTTCTTTCCTTTCTATACAATTGTATATACTGCTCACACAGAACAATCAATGTATGAGGTAAAGTACATGTAAACACAAATCACAACTTTTATGATGTTAATATTTCACTTTCATTAATAGAATAGCTAATGATCCTGCCATGAAGGACCTTGTTCAAGCACTTCCCTTAATAGAGAAAACACTGTGCATGCCTCCAACTGTGCTCTTCTATTGCCACAGACCTTTTAAGGAGACTACAAGTGGCCATTTCAACACAAATACGTAGAAATGGCGCACTGTCACCACAAGGAAATCTGCCCTGAGAAAAGCCATGCAATCATTGCTGGTTGCATACATGTAGGATAGGCAGTGAAAAACAATTAAGGATACAATGCTTTAGGAAAATATCTTTTGGCTAGGGTTTGCATTTAAGTTCTGTTACAAAAAACATTAACCAGGAAATAGGAGGAAAACTCATCCAGGGCCCCAGGAGAGATCCAGACATTTTTTCAAAGACATCATTTTTTTTTAAATGTTTTACAATATCTGGTAAGGTACATGAGGAAATAAACAGCTTGAAACATTCAACAGTACAGAGAAAGAAAATATACGCACCTTCAGGAATCCTATCGAGAGAGTCCCTAAACCGATCAAACAGATCATCTCTCTTTCTATAAAAATCATCAAGGCGATATTTATCAGCGAGGTCGTCGACTCTGAAGGATATAAAAGTGCCACTTTGAGAAACCTTTCCAGACAGGAAGCATGAGAAGCAACATTTACATAGAACAGTAAACATTTGCAAGAAACTGGGGCAACCTGCAGCCCTTTATTATCTATTGTGCAGCCACTGTACCCCAACAGCCAAAAGTCAGTGTTTTGTTTAGAGGTATATTTCAGGGCAGTAGAGGAAAACATTTATTAAACTGGTTTCTACTAGCTAAAGGGTTAGCTTGTTTTTTTCACGCTAAAACCTTGTGTGCGGTGCATGCTTTTCTCTTAGTGTGTATTTTTTGCCTGACCTTTTATATTGCGCCATACTGAAAGGATTATCAAATGTGGAGTCAGAAATTTTTAAAGGTAGTTGTAAGGGGGCTCTGACTATTGAGGCCTGAATGCCCCCTCAATTAAAGTGACTACCACCACTTAGGAGACCTTGTAATTTATAGGATTTACCGTATGTCATAAGTATTTTATTTACAATCCATTCTAGGCCCCTGTGTGTTCATCTTCTAACTGGCAGAGCCAGAATGACTGGATATATTGGTGTTATGGCAGACGACAGTTATTAAGTATCACAGCACATCACTAGGCATGGCATCCAACTAGCAAGGCCTTTATTGCCATTTTCATTAGGACTGTAAAGAAGAAATAGAAAAGACACATACATAGATGCAATACCTATCTTCCTGTGGCCCTTTTGCAAACATGTATGGTGCTTTGCATGCAATGTAATAGTGAAATAAGTTAGCTTCTAATTTGCAGCAAGGCAATTTACAGCACGGTTTCTTGCCAGCCACCTGACTGCAAAGCAAATCAATATAGTTGTCTATTAACAGGAAAATGTTTGGCAAGACTTAAAGTGGCTGTATAGCCTAAACACTTTTTACCTTAATGTAATACCTGCATTAAAGGTAAAAAAAAAAAAAAAAAAAAAAATTGTTTAGGTTAAAAGTATTGCCCCCTCCCCAATATTTATCTTAGCCCAATCTCGATCCATCACTGTGTAGTAGAGCAGCAGCTCACTCCTCATCTCCCCGTGAGCCATTGGTTCCCCTTGCTTTCAATCAAACCCTGTGATGAGGGAGTGGGGCCTTGCCTCGCTGTGTGTCAATGGACACAGGCAGCATTGCTCAAGATTCATGGCACACCTGCGTGCTCAAAAGGAAGTGGAATCCTATGGTAACAAACCGGTGTAGGAGCCGGGGAGCCCCACAGGGGACCTGAAAAGAGGTGTAATTCCATTACACAGAGCAAGTATAAATCTGTTATTGAAAGAAAGTAGCAAGGCTTAAAGAGATTTGTAAACGCTAAAATGTTAAGAACGTGGCTATATACTGGACATGGTACAATGGGCAGTAAAGGCATAAAAAAAAAAAGAAAAAAAAAGTGGGAGGAAAAAACTCCAAATTTAAAATGGTTAACCCCTTGGTGCCAAGCGTACACATATACACTGTCCCACTGGACTGGGCTTGCCTTCATGGGCCTGCATATATGCATGTCTTTGTGCTGGGAGCGTGCCAATAGAGACCGAGGTTTCACCAGGAGCCCCGGGTCACCTGATCACTGTGATCGTCTCAAACTGGCGATCAGTGATCAGTCAGTGAAGCCCGCCCCTGTGTTTCTCTCTGAGAATGGAGATGAAAGATTCTGTCAGGAGATAAGCATTACCATCAAATGAAAGCCCAAGTTATCCTGGGAAAAAAAAAAAAAAAGTATAATCCACCTGGATGATATGTATGGTTTTTCTTACATGTTTAAAGTTGCAAAACTATGCTTAGGTATTAACATTTGTTTTACCCTTGGGTACAAAGCGGTTAATTAACCTTTTTGACAGCTGCATTTAGCAAGACAAGTAACACAAGGCTGATAAAAATTGCAAGAGAGCAAGAGGATTAGGCAAAGAATTAGAGCAGTCCCTACAGAGAACTTTGGCAGTTTTAATTTTAAAATTGAAATTTCTGGTTAATTTTTTTTTTGAAGAATAAGGCCTACAGAGCAGTGCACTCAGAGTACATTTTGTAAATTTTTTCAGTTTCAATTCAAGAGTTTCAAGTTAAAATTAGAAATGAGCATTTTTGGTATTTATGAATGATGTGCAAGTCAGACATTTTCTTATATTTAACCTTTAGAGAAAAAAAATAAAATTTAAACCTGTATAATGGATCCCTTGGGTCTCGAGCCTCCCTGTATCTTTCAAACAATGGGTCTCTCACATCTCTTGCATCACGGGTATCACGCACACGAAGATCTCTGGTATCTCTTACATCTCTTGTGTCACGAAGGTCCCTGAATTCCCTGGAATCTCGAGAGTCTCTTGTATCTCGAGAATCTCTAACGTCTCTTGCATCTCTGAGGTCTCTTGTATCTCGCGCATCCCTGAGGTCTCTTGTATCCCGAGGATCCCTCAGGTCTCTTGTATCCCGAGGATCACGGAAATCCCTTTCACGGCCATCTCTCATATCTCGAAGGTCATGATCTCTGGAATCTCTTGGGGGTCGGTTATCTCTAATGTCTCTTGGTTCACGTCCATCTCGCCCATCACGAACTGGTCTTGAATCTCTACCATCACGTGGTTCTCTACTACCTCTCCTTGGGCTAGAGCGCAGTGGGGAGCGGGAGCGGTCATGCCTTGGCTCCTGGCCTTGTCCAAAGCCATACAAATCTCTGAAGCACCAAAAACAAATTGTTAGTTTGTTTCAAAAAGTAACAGAAAGCAACAAAAGTATAGAAAGCAACTTTCTATACTTGAGCTTTATCAATTAAAAAAGGGATTTAGGGGTTCTACTGACAGAGTTAGGCAAACAAGTCAAGCATGGTAAAGGGAAAAGAGAAAAACACAGACCAGGTATTTACTATACTGCTGTTTATTTACCATTTTTATGCAGAGAAAAAAATTGAAAATACGCAATTGAGGAGGAGTTCACCATCACACCAGCTGAGACTTTTTTTTTTTTTTTTTTAAACACGATTGGGTTAAATTAAGTTTAAGCGAGTTCAGCTTCAAATTTGAATTAAGGTTTCAAACCCTCAGCACCCTAAAGAGAAGTCAAAGTGTTGAGTTTTCGGTTGGAATCGAATAAATTAGAATGAAGGGGATTTTGTTGTCTTTCCAGCAGGTGACAGCGGTTCTGAGTCTCTACTGCATTTGAAACATTAAAATACCTTTTAGTTACATTACGCGAGTACCATACTAACATCAAATATCGCTAATGTCAGTGGCAAAATGGTTGACACAATGTATTCTTAATAAGCCTAGATATGCATGCGCTAATGTTAAAGAAGAACTCCGGGATAGCAAAAAGTCACCTGTTAGTACACCCCCCAACACAAGACACTAAACAGTTAACAACATTTTGAAAGACGGCATTTGCTCTGCCAAGGAGGTGGAAAAGCAAAGATTACATGATATCCTCTCCTCCTCTCGGCAGTAAAAGGAAACTACATTTCCATCAACCACAGGGAAGTGAATGTGGGTACACTAGGCCTGTACATGTTGAATGTGTCAGTCTCCATCTGCCCACCACTGCAAGTTGGGCAGAATTACATCACGGCACCCTGGAGAAAGAACTACACAAGGGATGTGCAAAGACCAGTGGGTGGGGAGAATAGGAGGCACAGCAGCCACTGGTCTTACAAATAGGAAACCAAAGAGAATTAACCATTTGATTTGAAAATAAATAGGCTATTTCAGAGCAACTACTGAGTGAACCAAAGATGGATGACATTCAGTGAAGGTAGGAAATCAGCAACAATGACATATAAAGAAGTTTTAACCCAGAGTTCTGCTTTAAGACACTTAAAGTGGTTGTAAACATCAGACATGAAATATGAACAAAGCATATTCCTCTATAGTGTGCACTTGTCTCAATCCAGAGCATAAGTGCCATTCTGTCTGCTGCCTCCTTTCTCTGATATCTGCAGGAGTCATTGACTCATGAAGAGGTATTAAAAAAAAAGAAAAGGTGATGGGGGAGGGAGCTTCAGCACACAGCCTGTGACTGACAACCTCAACTCTTTCTGTGTGCAAGGAAGTATCCCTTCTCTCCATTGAGAGGAGAGGGAAGGAGAGAGAGGAGAGAGAGAGAGAGAGAAGAGAGGAGAAGAGAGAGAGAGAGGAGAGAGAAGAGAGAGAGAGAGAGAGGAGAGGGAAGGAGAGAGAGAGAGAGAGAGGGAGGGAAGGATGAGGAGAGAGAGAGAGAGAGAGAAGAGAGAGAGGAGAGGAGAGAGGAAGGAGAGAGAAGAGAGAGGAGAGGGAAGGAGAGAGAGGAGAGGGAAGGAGAGAGAGGAGAGGAGGAAGGATGGAGAGGAGAGGGAGAGAGAGAGAGGAGAGGGGAGAGAGAGGAAGGGGAGAGAGAGAGAGAGAGAGAGAGGGGGGAAGGGAGGAGAGGGAGGGAGAGAGGAGGAGAGAGGAGGAAGAGAGAGAGAGAGAGGGAAGGAGAGAGAGGAGAGGGAGGAGAAGGAGGAGAGGAGAGAGAGAGAGAGGAGAGAGAGGAGAAGAGAGGAGAGAGGAGAGAGAGGAGAGAGAAGGAGAGAGAGAGAGAGAGAGGAGAGGAGAGAGAGAGGAGGGGGGGGAGGAGAGAGGGAGAGAGAGAGAGAGAGAGAGAGGAGAAGGAGAGGAGGAGAGAGAGAGAGAGAGAGAGAGAGAGAGAGAGAGAGGGGAAGAGGAGAAGGAGAGAGAGAGAGAAGGAGAAGAGAGAGAGAGAGAGGAGAGAGAGAAGAGAGAGAGAGGGATGAGAGAGAGAGGAAAGGGAGGAGAGAGAGAGAGAGAGAGAGAGAGGGAAGGGGGAGAGAGAGAGAGGGCAGGAGAGAGGGAAGAGGGGGGAGAGAGAGAGGGAGAGAGGGAGAGAAGAGGGGGGGAGAGAGAGAGGGGAGAGGGAAGGGGGGGAGAGAGAGAGGGGAGAGAAGGGGGGAGAGAGAGAGAGGGGAGAGGGAAGGAAGGAGGGAGAGAGAAAGGAGAGGGAAGGGGGGAGAGAGAGAGAGGGAGAGGGAAGGGGGGAGAGAGAGAGGGATAAGTCGCTCTCGGAGAAGGGAAGAGGGGGAGAGGAGGGGGGAGAGGAGACGGGAGAGGGAATCCTCTCTGGGGAGAGAGAGGGGGAGGGGGGATGGAGTGAGAGAGGGGAGGGATTGGAAGGAGGGGAGGGAAGGGGGGAGAGAGAGGAGGAGAGGGAAGGGGGGAGAGAGAGAGAGGGGAGGGAAGGGGGGAGAGAGAGGGGGAAGGGAGGGGGGAGTGAGAGAGAGAGGAGGGAAGGGGGGAGAGAGAGAGAGGGAGGGAGAGGGGAGAGAGAGATGAGGAGAGAAGGGAAGGGGAGAGAGAGAGGGGGGAAGGAGAGAGAGAGAGAGAGGGAAGAGGGGAGGAGAGATGAGAGAGAGAGAGAGAGGGAGAGAGCTGGAGAAGAGAGAGAGGGAAGAGAGGAGAGAGAGAGAGAGGCGGGAAGGAGAGAGAGAGAGAGGAGAGGGAAGAAGGACGGAAGGAGAGAGATGAGAGGGAAGAGAGAGGAGGAGGGAGAAGAGAGAGAAGGAGAGAGAGGAGAGGGAAGGAGCGGGAAAGAGAGAGAGAGAGAGGGAGAGGGAGGAGGAGGAGAGGAGAGAGGGGAGAGATGAGAGAGAGGAGAGAAGGGGGAAGGAGAGAGAGGAGAGAGAGAGAGGAGAGGGAAGGAGAGAGGAGAGAGAGAGCATGAGAGCGAGAGAGAGAGGAGGGGGAAGGTCGAGAGAGAGAGAGAGAGAGAGGAGAGAGAGCGTCTCGCTTCTATTTCCCTTGAGAGAGGGAGAGAGAGGAGAGAGAGAGAGAGAGGAGGAGGGGGAGAGGATGAGAGAGAGAGAGAGGAGAGAAGAGAGGGAGAGGAAGAGAGAGGAGAGAGAGACGAGAGAGAGTTTGCACACCACAGGTCTCAGAACAGGTCCAAAGCTTTATTCAGTGATCACATTATACGAAGCTTCTCTGTTAGAATGATGTGATCGCTGAATAAAGCTTTGGACCGATTCTGGAGATCAGTGGTGCTGATATTCTCTTGCACCGATTACATTTGGTTCCAGCCGGTGGTTGCTGCAGCACCCATGCAACAATGCAGCACCCAACCCCACTACAGCCACTTTGCAGTAATGTGCACATTGGGACAAAAAGTTTGTTGGTTTCCCTCCATTCAACTCTCCTCACTGAGCTCTGCAGTGACTTGAGCTCCCTGCCCTCTGGAGGCTCAGAAAAGCTGTATAAATTCTGCACTTTGCAGAGAAGACTGCAGATAACTAGGTATAACATTTGTAGGAGGATTTATTTGATCTGTGTATCACGTGAGGCCAGTCACTTCACTGGGTATATGTGAGGGAACTAACGTGCTTACTGACAAAAAGATACGCTCCAACCGACAGGCTTCTAGAACTTTATCAGACAATACAAAAAAATAGTGCTATTCACTAGCATATATGCTTTTGCAGATGCTTTGTAGGGGTGAGGGTAAATATTTCCGTGCAACTCAATTTAGTTGCAAAATATCCATGAAAATTTTTCCACCAAATGGACACCATCAACCCTTTTGCTGGAGCAGCCAAAGATTATCTATCATTTTTCAGCAGGCTACTGACTTCCTAGTAGAAGTTATACAGGTTGCTCCAATGCTAGGAATGTGCCAACTCCCCCCCCCCCCCCCCCTCTCCTGCTATTTTCCCCAGGCGTACCCACCCCTTCTGAGTGTTCAGGAATTAATAGCAGGTGTCAGGCTGGAGAGTGGAGGGAGATCAGTGAACATCCATTTGTTGATCTGCCCAGGGTAGTCTGAACCTGGAAGCACTAGACTGAGCACTTTCAGGTTCAGAGCTGTCAAACCATGACTGTTCTGGCTAGGGAAGAAGCTGATGGAGTACAGAAGAGATGTCAGGGGTGTCTGAAATCTCGTTAAAGAGAACCTGACACCTGCACTATGCTGGCACACAAGGCTTTTCAGCACTCTTGCTAAACCATTAAAGTTTTCATAAAACACCTAGATAAAACTGTAAAAGCCCCCTACCCCACATACATACATGCACATCGGGTTACACATGCTTATGTAAATTATTGTGCCACATTTATTAGGTATTGCCGCGCATAGTGTAGTGACAATTATTTTAGGGCCATTATACTGATTGTAAGATAAATGGCCTGTATAGGCTTTTAAAAAGGTGCCATTTATGGATACCATAGTTTTTTGCAATTTCACAGGTGAGCGCAATTTCCTAGTTTGACATGTTTAGTATCTAGTTACTCGATGTAAACTTATCTTTGAAATGTTACCATTAGTATTATCAGTTTCGCGCAAAAAAAAAAAAAAAAAAAAAAAGGAAGGAAGAAACTGCCGTCAAATATCTTAACGTGTGATGGCCTGTGGCTCTGGCAGCCAGGAGGTTGAGGGGAAGGGTGAGTTGCACAGATTAGTGTCTAGTGTATTAATGTACTGTCTTTTGCTTCCCGTGTAATTTTGTTCCACTTGCTTGAAAAACAAGGCTTAAAAGAGCAGTCTTTTATTACAAACAGGTCAGGTGAGTTATACGTTCTGCATTTAAATGGAATTTTTAATGTGAAATTCTCCCTGACATTTGGTTTTGCAGTGTACTATATGGCATTTTTAGGGAATGTCAGTTAACAGGATAGGAAGCCTGTATGTTAAATGCAATAGCATTTTAGAGACTAACAGGAAGAAAGCCAGTGATAGGTTGGTTCTAGCTCCAGATGTGGATGGGAACCCAGCTGCTATTTTTGTCAGTTCCCTTTTGCCATTTCTGCCTTTATAAAAGCACATTTATAAGTATATGGTATTCAGGCTGAGAAATTGGTTGGAATTAGATGTGACGCAATCTGATGCACAGAGAAGGCAACCAAGAAGCATTTCCTAATTTGCACACCACTTAACAGTAGTGTGGTATTTTTTTTTTTATCAGCCAACTCAAAATTTTTGAAATTTAACAGAAGGCCACTTTCCTTTAAGTTTTTACGTAGATGGTGCAAAAAAGCAGCAGAACGCATATATATGAAGTCCAAGGCTGTAGTGTTCATCCATGATATTATTTCAGAATTATCCAAAATGAGGGAAGAACATTTTATGGGATGATGTCCAGGTAGGGAATATGCAATAAAGTGACGTTACTGCAGGAGTTCTTCCTGGGACCACTTAAGACCAGACCAGTCCATGAACGACTCTCGCAAGTACTTTACCTTCTTGACGGGCTGGACCTGGATGGACCCTTATTCATATTTCTTCTTTCCACTGCTTTGTTAATATCTGAAAAGCATAATTAACCCATCTGTTCAATAGTGTGCAACAGGAGAAAACATGTCATCAAACAAATAAACACAGATACTAAGGCAACTGATTAAAAAGAAAAATGTTTATTTTCAGTCAGTATAGAGTGCCCTGAGCTACAGTACATAGAGTTAAGATATTGCAAGTCATTTTAAAATACTTTATCACCACTCGTCTTACAACACAGTTGTAGTCGAGTTGTCAGGAAGATCAGCTCAGCATACACATTACAAATTGAAGGAAAATCAAAAAGTGCAATAAATGGTTAGGGTGTCCGGAGTGGGGAAAGGGTTTCATAAAATGAAAGTTTTCAAGGGTGCGCATGATGAAACGCATAGGATGTTTTCCCACTGATCGTTTTGGTTATACATTTTCCAAGTTTGGACTTTTGTCAACATAAAAATGCTTAGACGACGATATTACAATGACGTTTTGCTCCTGAGGAACAGACTGCCCTTTCCAATTGTTTCCAAAATTAAGGTAAGACGTCGGTGGGGAGTGGGAAAAGTCAATCAACAGCACATGGTTGTGATGTTTTGTGTCAAGAAGAATCAATGTATGAATCCATCTTGCTGTAACAAATCAACAAAAGACCAAGTAGTGTAAGTAAGTGAAGCATATTGTAAAATTGTTTGTGATCAACAAATCTGTTAGTTAAATAATATTATACATTAATGGTTGTACTCCAATTTATGCCTTTGTAAAATGCAATTACCTTTACCATTTTACCCCCTTTTTGCTTGCATGGCAGCCCCTTTGTACTAAGTAGGTTGAGTGAATTAACCATTTCCCAAAATTTTGAAGTTAGTGAGAATCACAAATTTTGACAGTTTGAAGCCTCCAACGATAGAGGGCATGATCTAGAATAGCAGTGATCATAAATGTACTACACAGTTTTAAAAGTTGGCTTAAAATAAAACATGCAAATGGCCACAAACACAGGATAATGTATGCAGACACACAGTCCAACATCATGAATAGTAGGCAAATATAAACCTTACATGAACCGAGCTACTACACACTAAGTGAGTACACCACTGAGGATTAATAGATTTAAATTTTGAGAAAAAGTAAACCTTAAAAAGGAATAGCTATAGTAAATTCAAATGCAATACAATACGTACGCCACCCTGCTTCACAACACAATTATACTCAATGTGAATCTCTGACCGTTCTGGAGATAATGGAAAAAGGCTTACAACCATTCAGGTTTTATTTCTGTGTCCATGGGGAGGTCTGTCCCTTCACTTTCTGTTCCCCAAAGGCAACACAGACAACAAAAACCTGAGGCAAACCTGAGTAGAGATGAACGTTCATGTAGATATATTTACAAAGGAGCAGAATGAAACCTGGCAAAAAGAGAAAAAAAAAAAAAAAAAAAAAAAAAAAAAAAAAAAGGACAGAAGGTGGATTGTCTAAAGTTCTCAGGTGATAAAAGGAATCAAATTAAATTACCAGGAATAATGAAGAAAGTTCTGGGTATGAATGAAGAATGGGTTAAATACTACATTTTTGCGTATAAAATTTAATGTAAAGCTCAATGGATTCCACAATATGCGCAGCCAGCATTTCAGTTTGCACGCACACTTAATGAACTATATTGAAAAAAATCCTTTTCAATAAAGAGAACAAAAAAGGTAACCAAACACGGCAATATCTACAAACTCTTAAGTCTTGAATGTGTTATGCGTATACGTAAACATTTGTGATAGAGGTTTCTGGATATTATGTAACTGGGGCCTACTTTTTTTTCTTTTTAAAATACTCAAAGGCCTTTTGAACACTGCAAATTTTAAAAAAGCTCAGTACAGCGGGTTTTTTTTTTTTTTTTTACCAAGGTAAAATGTAGCCCATTTACAATGTGCCTTTGCTCACAAGCGCCGCGTATTCCTCAGTAAAATCAGCATTTTTGGTAATTTACGCCACGTGCACACGAAAACGCGCATGAGCATACATGTTGAGTTTTCTAAAGAATGTATTGTGTGTGCAAACGAGCATAAATGTGTGAATACGCGCAAAAAAAAAGCAGATGCTCAAACACTAGTAGTGTGCAAGAGGTCAAAACTATAGGGAAAAAAAAAAAAAAAAAAAAATTGCTGCACACAAGTCTTGCATGAAAAAGTAATTATATGTGCTTTCGCCTACAAATTACAAGTCTCTTAATTTATCAAATGTAGCCATAAAAGGATCGCCATTTTAGAAGCAGTGAGAGGACTGGTATAAATTTGGCATGCTACGTGATCAGTTTAAGGAGTTTAAATATTTCTGTTTTGGAGCAAGCAAAGAAACGCAATCAAAATAACGTACTAGCAGTAATTTACTTGGGTTACGATATAAAATATTCTCATAAATTCTGTAATGTTTTCCATGGTAATGCTGCTGTCCAAAATGGAATATACGGGGGGAAATACTACTGTAGTAAATTCTAGCCAGCAATGCGGTTGTGTAGTCTCTAGTAGTCTGGGTCCTCTGCGCAGAGTTTGCACACCAGTTTACTCTGTTTACTCAACTTTAAACTACCAAACGTGTTCCAAGATCCAAATACAATTAGCAAGGAGGCACATGACGACATCTGATCATTTGATATTCCAACCCATTGGCATAATCAATTTTGTGCGCACATTTGTTTTGGTCACTTTTGATAATTTTTTTTTCTGGACTGAATCAAAATATTTTGCTGTAACACATTGAACAATTTACTTTATTTTATTTGAGTCAAGCAAGTTTTTTTGCTTCAATGGTAACCCAAGAAGGCTTGTTTGCATAAATGGCGGAAAAAAATAAAGTGGCCAACCCCAGAAAAATTCCATATCCAAACATTGAAACATCACTGATAAAACTAATATGTTTTGTTAGCATTACAGCTAAATCACTGTACTGACATTTTTGTATTCTGCCATATTTAAAAGTGCTACTACAACCACTGAAAACTTTTCCATGTGTGCTTCAGCTAAATTACTAACAAGCGCACGGCGGAGGACTCAATGTTCAGTGAAAGTGCATTGTGAATAATGCTTTGTGGTCCAAACCCCCCAAAAAAACAGTCTGACACAGATTGTTAAATTGTAGAAGCTGAAAATTTTAATACCATTATAAAAGGGGTTTGGTAAGTGCAAGTGTGTCCGAAATTCAAAGCCATCTTGCACTAGTAGTCCTAGTTGTTATATTGGACTACAGAACAACTACTCTCTATGTGGTAGAGATGAGGGAGAGATTCTGCGAGTCAAAAAGGAAGCCTGGTCAGAACCAAACAGACACTATTCCTTGCAATTTCAGTGTAGAGAGGAAAAAAAAGCAAAAAACACAACATGTGGTAGCCATTCACAGAAGAAATTAGGAGCAGGATGCATTCCTGGCACATCAAGATGTATTTTTTTATTCACTAGCGGGGTCTTAGGTGAGAAACATGGAAAAATGTATGTGTACTGCATGATTTTATTTCTTTGAATGTTACCCAACATAGGCTTTTTATGACATTTCTGCTTGTCTTGCAAATAATGCATCCAAAAACAGACGACACAATTGAATAATTTTTTTAACCTTCCATATTTATTACCGATTGTAGTGTTTAGTTTGTATAACTGAATTTTCATATTTGCCTAGAGCCTTTAACACATTCTGCACCATGTACAGTTGCACTATTGGCTAAAGAATGACTACCCCCCCCCCCCCCCAACTTATATATACTGACAACAATATACTCAACTATTAATAACATATCAACATGTGAAGAGGATTTAGATATGGAAAGTCCTCATTTGATCATGAAAGTTCCAATAAAAAGTAACACAGAAAGGTGCTACCCATTCTGTAGGTTCAAGAAAACGGAAACTACAGATTACACCTGCTGTTCACAAAGTCTCCCTAGCATTCTGCTGCAATATAGGCCTTCTGCACACAGGGTGTGTTTAGTCCCTCTGAATGCAAGAGCTTGTGGGAGGAAAAAAAAAAAAAAAAAACAAGTGGTAAAAGGTGTGTAGCAGTTGAGTAGTAAGGCTACTTTCACACTAATCCGCTAACAAAAAAAAAAAAAAAAAAAAAATGCATTTTGCTGCGTTTGCAGTGTTTGTTTGTTTTTAAAAAGGTACATGTGACTCAGGTGCTAGTGCGCTGTTGATGTGTTTTTGCGTTTATTGGTTTCAACAGGGAGGTGTGCTTTTTTTTTTTTTTTTTTTTTAAATCTCACCAGAAATGAAGCAAGCAGGATTTAAAAAAAAAAAAAAAAAAAAAAAAAAAAAAAAAAAGCACTGGAGCCGCATGAAGCGGATCCATAGGAATACATGGTCACGTTTTTCTTCCCGATCAGTGTAAGAGCAGCCTAATGCATTCCAATGCCCAGAATAAATTGATATTTTGACCAACGGAATCCATTAACACTCAAACCCTAGATGTGCCCAAGTGTGCTTGTATTATGCAGCTTTTACTGCATTTATGCACCACATTTTTTTTAAAGCATGTTTACACACATTAAAGCAGAACTTTACGCATTGATAAAAAAAAAAAGTTATTTAGGAACATACATTCCGCATTGATAAATTATGCTACTAAAATTAGTGTGTGCTGTAAACTGCCTCCAGCATTTTTCCTGTTTCTTCTTGCTGGAGACTGCCATTTTGTTGAAGCCCAGGAAGCTGCCATCTGTTTGATCTGCAACTGCACATATGATCAGTTATAACACCAGTCATCTGATGGTTTGACAGTTTGATTGAGAACACAAGCAAATGTGACAATTACAGTGAGGAACAGAAGTATTTGAACACCCTGCGATTTTGCAAGTTCTCCCACTTAGAAATCATGGAGGGGTCTGAAATTCACATTATAGGTGCATTCTCACTCTGAGAAACAGAATTTAAAAAAAAAAAAAAAAAAAAAAAAAAAAAAAAAAAAATTCAGGAAATCACATTGTATGATTTTTAAAGAATTTGTCTTGCACTGCTGAACATAAGTATTTGAACACCTAAGAAACAGCAAGAATTCTGGCTCTCAAAGACCTGTTACTGTGCCATTAAAAAGTCCACCTCTACTCCACTCATTAATCTAACTTAGTAGCACCTGTCTGAGCTCTTTAAAGACACCTGTCCACCCCACAGTCAGTCAGACACTAACTACTACCATGGGCAAGACCAAAGAGCTGTCAAAAGACACCAGAGACAAAATTGTGGACCTCCACAAGGCTAGAAAGGGCTACGGGGGAATTGCCAAGCAGCTTGGTGAAAATAGATCAACTGTTGGAGCAATTGTTAGAAAATGGAAGAGGCTAAAGACGACTGTCAGTCTCCCTCGGACTGGGGCTCCATGCAAGATCTCACCTCGTGGGGTATCACTGATAAGAAAGGTGAGGAATCAGCCCAGAACTACAAGGCAGGAGCTGGTCAATGCCATGAACAGAACCACAGTTTCAAAGGTCACTGTCGATAGAACACTACGCCGTCATGGTTTCAAATCATTCATTGCACGGAAGGTTCCCCTGCTCAAGTCCTCACATGTCCAGGACCGTCTGAAGTTTGCCAATGACCATCTGGATGATCCAGAGGAGGCATGGGAGAGTCAAGTGGTCAGATGAGACCAAAATAGAACTTTTTGGTCTAAACTTCACTCATCGTGTTTGGAGGAAAAAGAAGGATGAATTGCATCCCAAGAACGCCATCCCTACTGTGAAGCATGGGGGTGGTAACATAATGCTTTGGGGTTGCTTTTCTGCGTAGGGGACAGGACGACTGCACTGTATTAAGGAGAGGATGAATGGGGCCATTTATTGTGAGATTTTGAGCAACAACCTCCTTCCCTCAGTAAAAGCATTGAAGATGGGTTGTGGCTGGGTCTTCCAACATGACAACGACCCGAAGCACACAGCCAGGATAACAAGGAGTGGCTCCGTAAGCAGCATATCAAGGTTCTGGAGTGGCCTAGCCAGTCTCCAGACCTAAATCCAATAGAACATCTTTGGAGGGAGCTGAAACTCTGTGTTGCTCAGCGACAGCCCCGAAACCTGACAGATCTAGAGGAGATCTGTGTGAGGGAGTGGGCCAAAATCCCTGTTGCACTGTGTGCAAACCTGGTCAAGAACTACAGGAAACGTTTGACCTCTGTAATTGCAAACAAAGGTTTCTGTACCAAATATTAACACTGATTTTCTCAGGTGTTCAAATACTTATGTTCAGCAGTGCAAGACAAATACATTCTTTAAAAATCATACAATGTGAAGTTTTTTTTTTTTTTTTTTTTTTTAAATTCTGTCTCTCAAGAGTGGGAATGCACCTACAATGTGAATTTCAGACCCCTCCATGATTTCTAAGTAGGAGAACTTGCAAAATTGCAGGGTGTTCAAATACTTCTGTTCCTCACTGTACATAAATAACTGGCATGTGCTGGGAATGAAACAGGTTTTTGAAACTGCTAAAAAAAAAAAAAAAAACAAAGCTGGTTTCCACTTCAATCTTTAGACTGCCAAATTTGTAGAGGCCTACCTGCTAACACAGTGCCTAAAAATGGAGAGCAACTCATAATGTGCAGAGCAGGGTGAGACAGTGTATTACTGGATTTTAAACAGTATAGGCACTTGTTTTTAATGTTTTACAGGGCTGCACCTTCAAAAAGGCACCAGTCCAAAAAGTAATCTAGTAAGAATTTTCTGACTTAAAGTTCCACTTTAAGGTGCGTTCAGCAATTTTTTTTTTCAGCTCTTCAGCACCTCTCATGAATGCTTTTTTTTTTTTTTTTTTTTTCTTTTCAGCCTGTAAATGCCTACGTGTGCTTGGAGACATAGGTCTACATAGAGTCGTTTTTACAGGCTGCCATAAAAAAAAAAAAAAAAAGTCAAAAACCACTTGTGAAATTGGCATTTGAGCCCAGTGTGCATGAGGCCTTAAACATGATATATAGCGATAACAGAAGGCAAAAGTAAATTAGAGATAAAAGAAAGCAGCACCCTAAAAAACAAATATTTTTAATCAACTTCGCAGTTTTGCCTTACCTAATCTATACCCTTTATGCAGCCGTCCATTCTCACCCTTGGAAGCAGCATCTGCATCTTCTTTGCGTTCATACTGCACGAACCCATAGCCATGGAACATGGAGACGGCTGGAAAATTAACAAAAATGTTTCAGCCAGAAGGCAGCACTATTTTATTTCTGGCTTCAGATGAACAAAAATACATACACCAGTAAATGTCTAAATGAACTGCTGGGACAATAAGGTCTCTTTCACACGGGCGATTGTTCTACCGCTTGTATATGCGTGTATTTTTTATTTTGAAATTCCAAAACACTCCTGGCACAGAGATCACTCGCATTTGTACATTGCATTTATCTGTGGTTACGTGTGTTTGCATGTTGCTGCGTTTAGCTGTCGTAGTAACTTCTTGCCTTCTCTATAGCAAGTTTACTTATTTTATCTTTGTACTGTGATTACCTGCGTTTATGTACAGATAGCTGCAGTACATCTCTCCTGGACGCGATCAACTTAATTTTTTCTAAACACATAAAACCAGATGTGAAGAAAATGTTGCTAAACACAGTATGTGAATGGAGCCATAAAGAGATGCATTTGTCTGCATTTAGCTGCGGTAAATAAGTTCCTCTAACCGAAGCTAAAAACTGAAATCTAACCTCCCATGTGAAAGGGGCCTAAATCTCTCATATCACAGATATACAATGTGTATAATTTTAAGCTATTATGCACAGCTATTTTATCATGAACAACCAAGAGTGATTAGGTATAGATCCCATCATAAACATCTTCAAAATCACAGTACAGGACTGTCATCCAGTCAGGATAAATAATGCAGTATATACATTAATTTGCATGCCTTCACAGCAAAGGGTCATTTAGCCCCAAAATGTGTTCTCACTAGATACCAGACAATGCATCTGCATTCTAAATTAGCATAGTCTGGAGGTAATGTTCCCACCTAGTCTGCAACTAATGTATTTCAATTCTTTCAAAATGCTGAAAAGATTAACCTGTAACTCTCATACCATACAGTGCACATACATAAAACTATTTGCAAAAGTCTGGTTGCATATAGACGCGATGTTCAAGAGTTCTAATTAGGTAAGATGCAGCAATCAGCCCCTTTCATATAATTGAACAGGCTGGGACGGTGGCAACTCCACAGTGATCTCTTAAAAGAATAAGTTCACCTTTGGTAACCTGGTTACATTTTCCATCCTAAAAACAAGTTTCATGTCACATGTTTCCACTCCTGCAGCCTCCCTGTGACAGAAAGTTTGTTTGTTGGTGTTTAAGGGAATCTTCTGCCGCACTCCCTGTCACTAATAATAAATAAATAAAAAGGCTGTGCAAGGCACCGCCCACCCACATCTTGTAGTTGTCAATGAGCTACCAGGGCACTGGTGAGAGCTCTAGTCTGCACAGGCAGGTAGTTACTGAAAGACCGGAAGGATCTGTGAACTATGGACAGACAGCAACTGAGACAGTCCACAGCATCCAGACATTGCACCCATGATAGGATGATCGCAGGTAAAATGCCTTACAGGCCGAAATGTTTAAAAAATAAATAAAATACAGTGAAGGAAATTAGTACTTGATCCCCAGCTGATTTTGAAGGTTTGCCCACTCACAAAACAATGATCAGTCTAAAAATCGAATGGTAGTTGTAACACTCAGACAGAATAGCAACAAAAAAATTAAAAAGAAATGCATGTCTAACAAATTGTGCAGTGATTTGCATGTTCATGAGGGAAATAAGTATTTGATCCCCTTCACACAGCATGACTTCGTACTTGGTGGCAAATCCCTTGCTGGCAATCACAGAGGTCAGACGTTTCCTGTAGTTGGCCACCACATTTTCACACATCTCAGGAGGGATTTTGGCCCACTCCTCTTGGCAGATCCTCTTCAAGTCATTAAGGTTTGGTGGCTGACTTTTGGCAACTCAAACTTTCAGCTCCCTCCACAGATTTTCAATCGGATTAATGTCTAGAGACTGGCTAGACCACTCCAGGACCTTAATGTGCTTCTTCTTGAGCCACTTTGTTGCCTTGGCTGTGTGTTTTGGGTCATTGTGATGCTGGAACACCCATTCACGACCCATTTTCAATGCCCTGGCCGACAGAAGGTTCTCACCCAAGATTTGACGGTACATTGCCCCGTCCAGCGACCCTTTGATGTGGTGCAGTTGTCCTGTCCCTTTAGCAGAAAAAACACCCCCAAAGCATAACGTTTCCACCACGTTTGACAGTTGGGATTGTGTTTTTTGGGGCAGCATTCCTCCTCTTCCAAACATGGCGAGTTGAGTTGTTGCCAAAGAGCTCGATTTTGGTCTCATTTGACCACAAACACTTTCAACCAGTCCTCCTCTGCATCATTCAGATGTTCAGTGGCAAACTTCAGATGGGCCTGGACATGTGCTTTCTTAAGTAGAGGGACCTTGCAGGCACTGCAGGATTTCAATCCTTGTCGGCGTAGTGTGTTACCAATTGTTTTCTTGGTGACTGTGCTCCCAGATGCCTGGAGATCATTGACAAGATCCTCACGTGTAGTTCTGGGATGATTCCTCACAGTTCTCATGATCATTGACACTCCATGAGGAGATCCTGCATGGTGCACCAGACCTAGAGACTGACAGTTGCTTTGTGCTTCTTCCATTACCGAATGATTGCACCAACTGTTGTCACCTTCTCACCAAGCTGCTTGGCGATAGTTTGGTAGCCCAGACCAGCCTTGTGTAGGTCTACAATCTTGTCCCTGACATCCTTGGACAGCTCTTTGGTCTTTGCCATGGTGGAGAGTTTGGAATCTGATTGTTTGATTGCTCCTGTGGACAGGTGTCTTTTATACAGGTAGCAAAATGAGATTAGCAGCACTCCTTTTAAGAGACTGCTTCTAATCTCAGCTTGTTACCTGTATGAAAGACACCTGGTAGCCAGAAATCCTGCTGAATGATAGGGGATCAAATAATTATTTCCCTCATGAACATGCAAATCAGTGCATCATTTGTTAGACATGCACTTCTTTTGAATTTTTGTTGCTATTCTGTCTCTCAGTGTTACAAACACACCTACCATTTGATTTTTTTTATACTGATCATTTGTTTGTGAGTGGGCAAACATTCAAAATTAGCAGGGGATCAAATACTTATTTCCTTCACTGTATGCATTATACCTGCAAAAAGATTTATTTTGCATTTATTTATTTCTGTATTCAAAGGTAAACTTATCCTTTAAACTGGCACTACATGGATTGATATGTGGCTGGATTTCAACTTATGTATGGTCAGGATGGTTTACAGAAGCCAATCTACTTGTGTACAACCACTCTTGAATTTTTGCCACTCTCAGTGCCACCAGCTATAGCCAGCATTGCTGATCAGTGTAAGAATGCAAAAAGGCACAGCGGGGGGATTCCCCCATCCACCCCTAATGAGTGGACGAGGGAAGGATGTAATTTTTTTTTCTGTTCAACCCACTGTTTGAATGCCGAAAAAACACAGCACTCGTGCCCTGTGAGCAGGAAAAAAACACTTACGTTTTCTGCAAGTTATCTTTCAATACTGTTTTTCTTTTTAAATGGTTTTTTGTGCACCACCCACCTAAAGAGATTACATTTTGATTACTCCCTGTGAGCCATGCTTGAGGGCAGAGTGTACTCTAACAGGAGGGGTCAGGAACAAGATTTCTTAAAAGCCTGTAAGTTGTGAGTGGTGGTAGCTTGGATAGTAGTGTGTGCATGTTTTTGGTAATTTCCTGAGCATGGAGTGGGAAATTTTGATTTTTGTAATCAAATCACCGGCAGCTAAAGCTTTCTCATCATCTGGTTTCCCTACATCCAGATTTGTGGCACAAATATATGAATATATTAAATCTCATTAATTATTGACTCAGGAGTTGTTTCAAAATAATGACTTATCTTACTCTTTTTCCCTCCAATAGAAATTCCCAACTCAAGAATTATGCTAATTTATGCAGAATTACAAATAAAAAAACAAAGGGTAAAGTGGTGCTCCTAATGAAATTGTTAAAATAAAGCATTACTAACCAGTGATCTCTCCATATTTAGAAAACAGGCTTTCAAAATCTTGACGGCTCATCTGGTTCGTTGGTAAATTGCCGACAAAAAGTCTTCGGTCTAAATCGCTGGGATCATCGCTCTTTGTCAGGTTCTCAGAAGCCTTCTTGCGTTTATTATCCCTTTGAGAAGACATGGCTGACATATTCCAAAAGAACTTCGCAAAAGAGAAAAAAATGGCCATGCATATAATTTCAAAACCATAAATAGCCAATACACAAGATAAGCCATCTTTCCAAAATGCAGATTTAGTTCAGTTTTCAGCAAAGCTGTGTGCACGCATTCCAAAGCAGAAAATACGCCGTAGAAATATTCGCTTTAAATTTTTGGTCTTCTGTGAGAGGCCAAGCCATTCACAACATTTTTAAAATTTACTAAGTAACCAATACAAAAGATAAAACCTGGTGGTAAAGACAGCAACCACTTAAATATATTAAATTTTTCTTCTACAGCATTGTGTGACCACAGTGAACTGTAAACTACAGTAGCTTAAAAAACAATTCAAAAAGTCTTTAGACATATGTTACAAAGGTTTATGAAAAAGGAGTCAAACCTGTTATCATACAAAACGTAGCATTCATTTTGAAAAGCATCATTAACCAAACTAGATCAGGGTACAAACACTGACAGCAGTCTTGCTATTGGGTACATTTCACTATTATTAGATTCAGACTAGGGGAATAAAAAGAGAAAAAAAAAAAAGATCACAGATCTGATTATATAATTGATATTCTCCCTTGAGAAGAGGCATTTCAGGGAAGATATGATCACATGTATAAATGGTCAATACAGTTAACTTGGTGGAAAGGTATTCACTGTAAGGTAATTACAAAGGACAAGGGGGCACACTTTGTGACTGAAGAAAGTGGATTACAAAAATAAATGCCAGGATCCTGCAGAAGTGTCAATGGACTACGAGTGCATTGAAAGATGTGCCTAAACTACACATGGCTTTTGTATTTACAGATCTGCACACTTTTCATTCTGAATAACTCTAATAATCCTACTTTCCCCAAGTTCGACCAGAACTCTCAACACCTGCGGCAATTCTCCAGTCTACTGAGGCTACCAAAATTATCAGCAAGAAGAGGAGCAGAGGAATTGCCAACTTGTACTTCTTCCCACTCCTCTTCTCAGATATATCATGATTTGCCTTCTGAGATGTTTTGACTATTAGGCTGGAATAAATGTTCTTAAAGTGGAACTAAACACTAAAAAGAGGGGTTCTGCTTTATGTCCTTCAACCCCCCCCCCCCCCAACCCCAGGCTCGCAAAACCTCTTGGGACACATCACAGGACCCAGAAGGCTGCAGGACCGCTCATTCACAAGAAACGCTGCAAACTGTGCAACCAAATCAATCCATCAAAAAGTGTTAGACGCTCAAAAAGGGTTCTTCAATATTTCCGGAACATACAGCTGCACCTCTAGTAATGTGTACCTTATCCTGTGCAGAAAATGCAGCAAAGGATCTTATGGTGGTGACACAGGACAGAAGTTGCAAACAAGAATGAATTTGCAGACATACCATCAAGGAACATAAAGATGATGACCTTTGCACACCTGTGGGACATCATTTCGCACAACCAGACCACATAATGGGAGACCTCAATATCTTGGTTCTTAAAGGAAATTTGAAATCCATTCAGGAAAGAAAAACTTCTGAACTAAGAATGATAACTCTATTTGACACAAGAGATAACGGCCTGAATTTGGACATGGGATTCCTCAACCATTATCCAACAGTTTTATGACTATCAGCTCAAGCGTCACTCCCTCTGTGATGTGGTGTGTTGTCTTACACCCCCCCCCTTTTGCTTTTCCTGTGTCTGATCTGTAGCCTTTTTTTTTTTTTCCATCTCTTCTAACATTCTGCTAAAACTTTGTGATTTGTATAGTACTGCTCAGACCTTGAAGAAGGGGACATTCCCGAAAACTTGTCCTCAAAATTGTATGTTAGTGCAAATAAAAAAAGTATCACGGAAAGTACTCAATTGTTTTAGTCCATATTAAAAACATTGGTATACACCTGTTTAAAAACAAAAATAGTTGCTGACTTCAGGAATACAAGAAATCATTTGTGGCATCCATAAAGCTTTGCCAAGTCTATTTTTATATAAAAGCTATAGACAAATAAATAAATCAGAAATTCAAAGAGAGCAGTAGTATATATAGAATATCTACCCACCTATTCAGTACTTTATTATTCAGCCCAGCAATCCCTTAGGTTTTTAAAATTCAAGGCAGAAGGACCTGTGACACACTGGCTAGCCATACACACTCCTGGTTCACCCCATCATTAGATTCTTCTATCCACACTTATGCAGGCCATAGACTGTTCGTTTGTCAGCCGATTTTTCGTCGGAAAGAATAAATTGGATGATTTTTGCACTGTTAATGGGACAATGGCATTGGTCGATTTTTGCGGTTCCTCCTCATTTCTTTTATTGGTCATGCTGGAAAATTAATGAAAAAACGGCCAATTTTTGCAATCATTGGTGGCAACATCGGGTTACAAAACGAATGATGTTACGATGTTTTGTTTTTGTGGGCGAAAAATTGGCCGATAAATGAACCATCTATGGCCTGCATTAGCCACATGGATGGAGGAATCTGCACTGCCAGGTATTGTAATTTGATAGCTGCAGCACCTAAAGCTGCTGGGATTCATGGACAGTAATTGTATCTGAATGGATTCAGTTACTGTTCAGTCAACTTCCTACCTGACCCAGTCAATTTTTGAAAGGCTTTGTTGTGTTATTGCTAGCTTTTCATCAAGTACCTCATAGGGTCAATATTCTACATTACAGATTATACATATAAGGGTTCATGTTAACAGGCATTTTAGTGAAAAGCTGTGTTGTCAAACACATGAAGCATGTAATAAAATGATAAATGCAGTATTCAATCTGCTAAGGCGCTGTATTCTGACAGCGGCAAGACTTCACTGATGCACTGATCAGCGCTGCCGACTATACCAAGCAGTGCTGATCGAACGGGAAAAATCCAACAGATTGTTTGCACAGAAATCAATCAGTAGTTCAACTTCTGTACAATCAGCCTGCCTAAACATGGATTGAAATGCAGTTGTTCCCTGCTGAACCAACCGAACTGTGATCCATGTATGGCCGGCATTAGTCTTGCCAACCTTTAGGCTGCTTTCACATTGAGGAGTTTTTGAAGCATTTTTGCGGTAAAAAAAAAAAAAAAAAAAAAAAAAAAAAAAAACGCATGAAAAACTCAAGAAAACAGCTTCCCTGTGTATGTGAAAGCATTGCACTTGCGGTGCGGTGTAAAAACTCCTGCTTGCTGCATCTTTGAGGCATGTTTGGGGAGTTAAAAAAAAAAAAAAAAAAAAGCATGGTGTACCCCCCCAAAATCCATACCAGGCCCTTATCTGAGCATGTTAGCCCCGGCAGGTCAGGGGCTCCCACCCCCAAAGTACCTTGTCAAGGGCCTCTTCCCCACAACCCTGGGCTGTGGGGGTCTCGCTCGTCCCCCCTCCCTTCCTGACCTGCATGCTCGGACAAGCGTCTGATATGGATTTTTTTTTTTTTTTTTTTTTTTTTTAAATGGTGGCGTGGGGGTTCCCCTCAAAATAGAAACCAGACCCAAAGGGATTGGTATGGATGGAGGGGGGGAGACACTACGCCATAAAAAAAAAAAAAAAAAAAATGTTTTAATTGCCAGCAATTCTCGCTCTTACATTCAGGGGGGAACCCCGCTGACAGCTGAAACATTAACACATGGTTTTCACTACTAAAATACCACATGACTTGATAAAATAACTCATGCGGTATCTTAGTAGTGTTATTTTGTGAATTCAAACTTTTTTCTAAAAAAATGCTATGCGGTATCCTAACACATACTTGGATGCGGTAAGATACCAAAACGTGCAAATCTATTTGAGCTAGAAGAGTAAGTCACATGTGCAGGATGTTCCGCTTGGGAAAAAAAAAAAAAAAAAAAACCAGAAAAAAAAACAAAAAGGCTCCAAAAATGCTAGTCATTTTTCAAGCATTTTTGAGGCGAACCAGCGTGAAAGCAGACTTATAAAACAGCCCATAGATTACGTCATTTTCTTTCCTTCCACCACATGTAGAAAAGAAAATTCCCTTGCTTCCCCCATCAACAGTAAATGAATATCAGAAAATCCAACAGGCTGGTTATACCCAAGTCAATCAATGGATCAACTTGGGTACAATCAGCCTGCCCGTACATGGATCGAATCTCACCCGGTACCCGAACTGGCCAAATTTTGATCCATGTATGGCCAGCTTTAGTATGCTTATTCCTATCAAAACACATTTTAAAAAGTCCTTCAGTGATGGATATCCGATTACAAGTTGTATTCGAGCATTTTCTGAATCTGTTCAGTAGGCGAGAAGGGGTCATTTGGAAGATTTTATAGCAACCATTGTATGTTTAAAAGAAAACAACCGTCCTAAAGCCATCAGTACTACCAGATATCCAGAGGCACACCTGCAGGAAAAGAATATTTAAGAGAAAGGAATACACATTTTCAAACAAAACAATTAATCAAGCTACTGAAGCCCAATAAAGTTCAAGACATATTGTAACTGCTGTATTTGCCACACATTTCACCTTGATCATAATCTAGGCATCCTGAACAGTTCTCTATTTCAAGGGGACCTCCAAAATAATAGTTGAAATGTACCTCAACAATATATTTGAATGGTAGTCTGTGTCACTGCTGGTACTGTGCTTTCTTTACACCTACCTCACCACAAGTAAATGGTATTATGGTAAAATAGGCAATTTCTGGAATATCATAATATACTTTATGGTCTGTTCATGTATGGCATACAAAAGCAAACATGCCAGCATCAGGACATAAACATAGATGCCCTGTTTTCTGGCTATGCACACTGTTAAAAAACATTCCAAAGCAAAAATGGAATGAATATGGCAAAACCACAACTTTGTCTAGAGAATAGAGAAGCAATAATAATGAGACCAATGGTAGACTGGAGATCATATCTGTGGGATACGGGACAAAAGTTGGTCTTTATGGAAAAGTGACAAAAAAAAAAAAAAAAAAAAAAAAAAAACGCACACAAACACAAAGAAATGCAGGATATGCAGTTCTCTAAACTAAGGCTAGGTTCACACTATGCAGGTTAACAAGGCAAATGCATT